CAGTCCGGTGTGGGAGCGTGGGCATCGGGGAAGGGGGGGAGAGGCTGGGGGGACAGGATGGGTGTCGGCCAGCACCTCTGACACCTCCTAATTTGCATTACCACTGACACCCTTCTTGACCAAGAAAATGGAGCCAGAAATAACAAGGGCGGGAGGTGGTTCCCGTGGGGGGGGGCAGGCTTTGAGGTTCTCTTTCCTTGCCTCTAGCACTCCCACGATGCTGGGAGCAAGAGGTCAACCCTACAGCTGGCTCCCCGGGCAGGGGAAACGCACCCACTGTTGCTCATCCTCTTCAGACTGGGCAGACCCCATGCCAGCCTCCTACTTCCCTCAGTCTTAAACACCCCAGCCCTGCCCCTTCTGAGCCTGCTCCACTCTCCCCTCCTCTGGGAACTCTCTCCCTGAGCCCCTCCTGAAGCAGGGATGACCCAGCTCTGCCCAGCTGGGGTTGTCTCTGCCAGTGTTCTCCAGTTCGTGTCCTGCCTCCCCCATCAGAATGGGTGTTTTCCGAGCCAGGGCCCAAATCTCACCTGCCGATCGGAAGCAGCCCAAGGGACCATCCTACACAGTAACCGGAGAGCTTGCGATTAGATTCTAGAAATGGTGTGGTAAATCAGGGTCCAGCGTGAGACCTCGGCCCCCAGGGCAGTGTGGTGGGAGCAACAAGAGACCCTCCAACCCCATCCCCAGGTGACCAGCTCTGTTAGGGGCCTCTGATGGTTCTTTACTTGGAGGTAGTTTCTGAGTGTCACGCTTCTCCCCAATCAGATCTCAGAAAAAAGGACCAGGACAGCTCCAGTTCGACATTTTTATCCCCTGCCTCAGTGACTGCTGCACAGACCCTTCAAAACACGTTCGATGCCTAATGTATGTGCGTTGAATTTACTTCCATCCCGAAGAGGGTAAGAAATAGTGTGACCAGCACAGCCTGGAGCAGGAGGGAACGGACATCACAGGCCGAGGAGAGGCAGAGGGGTCCCGGGGCATGGATGGGAGAGGTGGCGAGAGTGGAGGGGGAGCAGAAGGGCCTGGCAGGGAAACCAGGTCGCGAGAGACAGCCGAGAGAGCTGTGAACACACTGCGGGAAGGAGCGAACGATGAACTGAGAACTTCCCCCACGCCCCCCTCCAGAGATGCTATTTTGGGGGGAGTGAATATATGCAGTGCAGGGGGCACAGTGGAGCGGGTAAGCCAGCTTCCAAGGGGTCAGCTGCCGCCTTCACTTTCCTAGCCAACCCCATCAGCCTTCCAGCCGCCAGCAACTCCCTCCCTATAGAAGAGTCTTCTTTTGTAGAGAGATTAGAAAGAACAAGCTAGGAA